AGGAGCGGCAGGATTTTCTGAACGCTCTTGGTGCCCTTATTTAATTTATTTCCTCCGGAGCTGAGCTGCTCTCTCCGGTCCCGGCACTCCAGCTGCCTTCTGGCCGCCTGGCAGGAATGTGCAGCGATGCCCAGAGGCCTTCAGCCTGTTATCGTTGTTTCCGTAGTAGCTGGTGAGCGAATCCCTGCTTAGAGGTCATCTGCTCGCATTCTTTTTGCCATCGAGCTGTAGACTGACCCCTGCTGGCCTTTATTGTCTATCACCAGGTGCTTCTTGTCATATCCATGCATGCACCCACACATGTAAGTACGCATACGTGTATATAACACACATGCACATTTGGTTCTGATGGGTTGGGATGTGTCGTGTTTTTCACAGAGCTCTTGGCCTGGCTGTGTCTGGCCCGCATCTGGGCGGGATACCGAGGGAATCCATAACGTTGCACTTTCATGACCATCCAGAGGCTGGGCGGTCGGCCACGGTGCCAGCCGATCAAAGGTCCGTCTACGCGTTATAAGCCGTGGCCGTTTCGACCAGTTTCAAAAGCAGTCACAGTCGACGGGCGCTCGTCATGGGTGTAACTATAGCTACGGGAAGACTTGCCAAGCCTCCAGATGGAGCCGCCAGGCGGGATTTGGGGCTTGTGTGAAGGCTGTGGGCGGAATTCACTCCCCCCATCCGAGTTATTAGGCGATGAATCCCACCTCCTCTCCATTCCTGCTTTCTGCTTGTCTATGCTGTGGCCAGTTCCTCTCTATCATTTGAAGGAGAATGCAGATCTGTGGTGATCTGAACTGGGGCTCGACCTCTTGAGGATCCAGGTTAATGTGCCCCTGGTCCACAGATCAACTTTCCTATGAAGTGTCCTCTCAAATCTCACAGCCACGTGCCCCTGGGTCCTGCCCATGCAGGGATGGAAGCTCTGGTTTAAAGGAGGCTGTTTGGGCTTCAAGCGACCTGCTTGCCCTGGTTGAGCTGACACACAAAGACGCTGCAGGTTGTTGCTCGGTTCACGGCTTTTAGAAGATTCGAATTCGGGGTTTTCAGTTTGCTCAGGGAGGCTCTCCTCTCTCCTGCTGGCCATGCTCCCAGCCTGTTTAAACATCATTACACCTATTAGCTACAGCGCTAACATAACTCGCTATTCTCTGTCTGCTAACCAGACGGCCTGATGTGGAGGCTGAGCTGTTGGGTTTTATGCGTTCCTCAGAGGTAGCAGTATAGCGCTTCCTGTTTTTGTGGAGATCATTGAAGCTGCCAAAGCTGAGATATGCAGACCTCAGACAGCTGCCAGGAAGATAGTGTGAGTGACATTTGCAGTGGGGAAAGAAAATTTTAACATGTGCTGTGAGCTTTCTTTTGTGTGATAGGGGGGTGTCCATGATAAGCAGGGGATGTTTCAGTGCTTCCAGATGGGTGCGGACAGGAAAGGTGGAGTAATCCAGTAGAATGAGGGGTCAACGTTTCTCCTGCTGTCAATAACAGTGATTCCCCTTAGATGCTTGTGATCTCTTGGAGCAAGGTCCAGACTACTCTTTGTCAGTGTGCCTGATGGTCTTACCCTATCAGGTTCGTTGGCCAGTGTCATGTGAGTCGAGGCATCCTCCTTCTCAGTTAGCCAATGCAGACACGGGCTGTCATTTTTCATGCTTTGTGCCTCTTGTTGATACAGTTTTGTGATTCCCACCTCTGTGGATCAGAATTGTCTCATGAGCTTCTACCCACAATTCATCCACCCTGCGATTGAGTGACATCAAAGCCAATTAGCCTTGGAGAAGATAGCCAGCTGTATCCGGAGAAAGACCAGAAAACTTTACAGGGGAAACATTGGGCTGCTTAATTATACTGTGTATTGAATTAGTAGATAGTTCAGTGTTCTGGTAATGTTGTTTTGTTGGTACTTATCGCTGTCGTAAGGGAATACACAGGGTTTTTCAGCTCTGATTCTCTCTGGTGGGCTTCCATTCATGGTTTTCCAGGTCGTCACTGTGCTGTGTTAGTTTTTATGGAGTGCAGAACACCCCGTTGAGTTTGTGGCCACACTGTGTCCTCCCTGAAGGATTAACAGCCATCTTTAGAACCAGAGCGCCTCCAGTCCCCAGTAATGAGAGGATCCAACCTGTTATGTTTGACATTTATCTGTTTGTTCAAAGCTCTCCTTCGACGTTTCACTTCCTGCATTCTGTGGACTGCTTGTAAAACAGCAAATGGACACTCGGGGGGGTTAACTAACTCCCTAATGCTGCTGTGAAACGTGAGGCACCCGAGTCCACAATGAGGGGGCCGAAATCCTCAAACCTTTCTTTGACGCAGGGGTTTTGAGTCACTGCTCAAGAAGCATGCCCCTCATGTCAGTCCATTTTACTCCGAGAGCCAGCTGTCCCACTTGTTAAACGGTTTAAAGTTCACTGTCAGAAAGACCCCCTCTCCCCACAGCACATCTCAGCCTCCCATCCCAGACTGCGTTTCCTGCCATAGTAATGAGTCATGTGTTTCCTGGGATGCGCAGCTCCTGTTTGGCACAGTGCAGGTAGGCAGGATCGTCGGCTGTGGGTCGCAGCACCGGAGCAGCCTGTCAGTCTGCAGGGGATTGTGGGACTCCAGCACCTGGCCATCGCACCCCGGCATCGCCGCTTTGTAATGCTCAGTGGGAGTGCTGGACCAACGCGGGTGTCTGTACCTCACATTCTGCTATATCAGGCCGCACCCGAGCCTGTATTCACTGACACGCACTCACTCGTGTAGCACCATGAAAGACAAGGCGCCGCTGAAATTCTTCAGCTGTAATACCATACACTGAGAACAATGCACACATGCAATGCACATTTGGGCCAGCAGGGGTCGCATTCATGCACTCCTCCCTTTAAATCCCACCTCCTGACGACTGACCTGTCCAGTTACTCCGCTCATGCTGGTGCCACTTCCAGGACTGGCTGCTTAACTCTCATGCTGGGAAACTTTTCAGTCTTTGGTCTGAAGGAAAGAGGACAGAGTTGGCCGGTATCACAGTGAGCACTTGGAGCAGCTATCCTTTGTTATTGTGAGCCTTTCAAAGTAAAAGCATGGAAAGTGCTGGAAACGCCAGCTGGCAGAGCTGCTTATGTCCCTGAGAGGCAAGAATTGAGCTCCAAATAGTTTCCCCTGTCCTCATATTCACTCTGGTCTCTCTGTCCTGAGGGAGCCACCGTTCCAAGGAGAATGTTGGATAACCTGGAACCTGACTCAGAGAAAGTGTCCGTTCATGTCAGCATAACTGAAGCACTTTGTTCAGAGAGCAACATGGCAAAGAGGCCAATTCCATTGATTCAGATGGCCCAAGGCTTGGCAGACGCTTTCTCCTAGAGAGAGAACTAAAATGAGATCATTTGTATCTCCTCATCAGTATAGAAGTGTCTGAGTTTGGAAGCTCTGTTAGATACTGTAGATAGGTTCCCTGTTAGGCAGATATGTGTAGGTAATAAATGCAGGCATAGAATTAACCATCACTCATCGTCAGATCCTCCATTGTTTTATATTTGCCTGTCGGGAGACTATTGTCTATGGGACTATTTTTGAAGACAATTAAATGGTCAAAGCTGAGCCTGGGTTGAGTAGTGAAACTACTCCCATTTTTAGATCAGGTTTGCTGGACTTTTTTTAGCGATAAAACACAGATGCTCCAATGAAATGACTAAGGATAAGGGCTTCGGGTTAAGGTTAGGGTCTTTTTATTTCAGGGAGCACTTAGTGAGGGAAGTCTGCCAACAATAAAACAAAGGAGGAATAGTCTCCACACCATGTGTAAACATTTTGTATCTGACTAGCCATCCTCTTCACTGGGCTGGACTTTAGGAGATGGCATCATCTTATGATATCATTGCTTAGATCATAAACAGTGATGTCACCATCTTGGCCATTGATGCGATGATAGAGGTGCTGCCCAGGCTGGCAAAGGCGACGCCCTTGAGACCTGAGGACTGTACAATGTCAGGTCGCGTTTCAGCTCTTCTCCTTTTACCGTCTTTTACTGTGCCCAGATTCACGCCTGCAGAGCTGCTGGGACCATCACGTAACCAGGCTTTGTCGGGAACCTTGCGTGAGCAGAGTCTGTTGGCTCATACATCTTCCCAGGCCATGAAACTGTGAAAGGCGCATGGTTCTAGCAAGCCCTGAACGTTGGTCTGCACTGGCCGCTGTCCGCTGCATGTGCCGCTTCTGGAGACCTTCACGACCAGTACAGTGTGTCGGACTGGGGAGGGAGACGTGGCAGGAAGTCTGATATCGGCTGGGCTCTCGGTCCCAATCCGGAGCCAGTCTGCAGGGAGCCCCCATGGTGCACAGACACCAGCCAGGCATGTGACATCAGTGTGGCCTTGGGAAGGGAAATGCTGAATCTGCCCCCTGCTGGAAGCTGTCAGTCACAAACAGCCAGGGCAGGCTAGTGGCTAAGGAGTCAACCTTGTTGGGCTGCAGTGCCTGTGTGATGCAACTGATGTTCATGGTTCCCTGCACACTGTTCCCTGTGCTATTCACCTCTCTAATATCTGTGTGTCGGTATAAGAATTGGCCCAACAAATGATGCCTACAGTGTAATTGTGTAATTGTGCCCTTTCTTCTGGGGAATAATTAGCTCTAGTTGGTTCTGCACAATGAACGATCAGCTGATCAGGGACCAAAAACTGAAGATAGTGCCCCCCTTTACAAAAATCCCTGTAGGAGTTTTACTTGCATAAAATGTTCTGAGGGCAGAAGGAAAAATGATTGGTTCAGAGAGATGACCAATCAGCTTGTGGAGGAGACAGGACCAAGACATCTTATTGGTTGGTCCCACCTCCTCTAGTTGCTTGGGCTCACTTCCTCTACAAGCTGATTGGTTATCTCTCTAAACCAATAATTTTTTCTTCGGCATACAGAACATTTTTGCTTAAGTAAAACTCCCATGAGCAAAAAACCCACCCAGACACAGAATGGGAATAGTGTATGCAGTCTAAGCCCTTTTCTCTGCTCTCTCTCTTCCTCAGGCTTTGGATCAGGACAGAACAGCGCTGCAGAAGGTCAAAAAGTCCGTCAAAGCCATATACAGCTCAGGCCAAGGTAAGAGCAGAGCTTATCTGTGTTGCTTTTTAAGTATTTTAGTTGACATACCTCCCACAGTAGCAGATTATGTGAACTGTTACCGTTGTTACCATTACAAGGGCAAAGATGAATACGTTTTCACTTTGGTTTAGGCTTGGGTCGGAGCTCAGCTGTTCCTTGTCTTCATAACTGTGCATAGACGTGTAGCTTTCACGCTGTGTCTGTTGAAGCTGTGGGCGTCACTTCATTTGAGGCCTTGTCATAATTTTAGAGCCTCCTGGGCTCTGCTCATTTTTAACATGATTTATGGGCCCTCCTGCAAAGAAGTGCTGCATTTCTGCATCTGCTCTGCTTAGAGGAGGACCTGCCCTCTCACTCAGTCAAATCTGCCATGTAATTGTGATTAATGGTATGTTTCTTCTCCTGCTTATTCAGGGGTCAGATTTTACAATGAATCCCTTTGCTATAATGGGATTTGTTTATATTTAAATACTATACACTATATATTTTTCCAGATGTTTAATACTGATTGCCAGAGGATTATTTACTCATCGATATTGCATAGTTAACTTCGTTAGATTTTGGAAACGACTCTGTGGCCGCTGTGAAATGTGAGCCCCCTGCTGGATAGTACAGGCAGTAAACATTTTACGTTTTTTCCCCTTTAAGAAGACGGATTACCTAATAATGTCACAGTGCCAGCAGAATCAGGCACACAAATGCTGCAGAATTAAACCCAGATGAGAGTGGAGAGCGGTGGAGGCGTGGCCTCTTAGTCACATGACCTGCTGAGGGACTCTGCTGCTCTGGCTTTATATCACTGGTAAACACGCTTCTGCACAGAGCCCCCCCCCCCATCCTCTGCCCCTCTCACTCTGTTTAATCATCCCGCTTCCTTTTTGATGGGTTTTCATCAGGTTTTCATTTGAAAAGGGCTGAAAATCAGCATGCTGGACAGAGTTAGCTGTGATCTATTACATGAATAGTCGTGGTTTAAAATACCGCAGCTGAAGCCGCACGAAAAGCAGGAGTGTCTGTGTGTTGTGTAACTATGGGTACGCTGTCTGTTTGCTCATACAGGAACAGAGGGTGTTTTTATTATTCTCGGGTTTTCGGGATGGATGATTCAGCAATGACACGCAAGGAAAGCCTGAGCAGGCCTCAGATAGCGTCACTGAATCGCTGTTGGATAAGGGCACCTTATCCTGCTTAATAGTATGCTGTGAGCATGCTCGCTTCCCTATTTTTATTCTGCTGGGCTGGCTGCTGAGGGCAGACTTATTGAAACCGTGTGGAGTTGCGCTTCTGGACTGGGTTGGATTCGTGCTCTCGAACCCGGGAGCTCCTTGAGTGTCATTCTGGAGTGTCAAAGCCGCACACTCATTCTTTTATTTTATTTATTTATTTTTTAATTTGCATTTTGTACCCAGATCATGTCCAGAATGAGGAAAACTACGCCCAGGCCCTTGACAAATTCGGCAGCAACTTCATCAGCCGGGACAACCCTGACCTGGGCACAGCTTTCGTCAAGTTCTCCACGCTCACCAAGGAACTGTCAGCGCTTCTCAAGAACCTAGTGAGAGGCCTCTGTCAGTCGCCAGTATCGGCACCCCTGGCATCCTCTGATTGGTTTCCGGGGGCCCACACGGCACCCCCCGGCCTCCTCTGATTGGTTTCCGGGGACCCTCACAGCATCCCCCGGCCTGCTCTGATTGGTTTTCAGGGCCCCTCACAGCATCCCCCGGCCTGCTCTGATTGGCTTTTGGAAACTCTCAGCACACACTCTACTTAGTGTGCTGTCAGTCTGTGTGAACATGTCTGACAGAGTAAAGGTTAGGGTAGCTGTCAGGGTCAGCTGAGCAGAGCTCCGCCTCTAACGGCCAGGCATGACCTCGATAGGCATGACCGCGAATTGGCCACATCTCCCAGCTTCTCCGGCAGCTTCTCCAGGCTGTGAACTGTAACCGTAACTCTTATATTAATAGTATCTCTGATTATGTTACCCCTAAGGATCTTGGGTAAAACAGATGATCAGCAGCTGTGTGATCTAGACTCTACACTGTGTGATCATCCTATCCTGTTTATTTTTGTTACTCAGTAAATCTGTATCTTAGTCTCAAGCAAACAATCTATCCAGGTTAAAGCTTGATATACCTGATGTACGTAACTCCCTGGCACATGCTCACGCTCCCCCTTAATTGATACCTCTCTCAGAGTGTGGTTCTTATGGCAAACGGGGTGACCGCTATACAGCCCCCTGAAGTAACAGGCAGATGATTGGGCCAAAACATCTAGGAGGCTGTTTTATGAGTTAGGCGTAGTGGCAGAGCATCACCAGCTGTAGGGTATATGGGAGGCGCAGCCTGTCCATCTCATTACAATGACATTTCATTCATGAAGCCATGACATCATCATGCATTTGTCTGGAGAAGCCGATATGACCAACAGAGATCCGGTTCCTGATGGCATCGTGTCCCACTTGGTTCATATCCTCACCCCAGAATGTGTGTCTCTATTTGGCTGACTCCTCTTCCTCTTCCTCTTCCTCCTTCCTCTGTAGCTCCAGAGTCTCAGCCACAATGTCATCTTCACCCTGGACTCTCTGCTCAAGGGAGACCTTAAGGGGGTCAAAGGGGTAAGATATAGCCCCGCCTCTTCACAGTTCTGATTGGTGCAGCCTGTCTCCCTCACCTCTCTCCACAAACAAGGCAATCAGATTACCGGTCACGTCAGCATTGTCGTTCTCGTGCAGCTTTTTACTCAAATGTCTGTTGTGACAGAAAACAATTGGCTTCTGCTATAGTTAGTGTATTTGAGCCCCCCCCCCCCCGATAAGCCACATGCTTCATCTAGCCAGGTGTTGTGTTTCCTCACACTGAGGATGCAGACCCAGCAGGTAAAGCTGCATTGCTACCATCAGTCCAGCATCTCTGGCCGCGAAAGCAGTCAGATGACCTTAAAAAATCTAAAGTTCTGTAAATGTTGCCAAAAAGTGTCCTGGGATTCTTAGCTCTGTGGTGCTTAGAATCGTCAAGAATAACCCGTGAATGAAATGGATGCCTGACATACCTAGTGTGAAATTCTGCCAGATAATGTCAGTACAAATCTCAAAGTTGTGCTGTAGTTGTCAGGTTTTCAGCGTTCCTGTCATACTCATATGTTTTAGTTTTATTGTTTTATATATACAGCCTGAGATCTGGGTTGTGATTCTCTGTATTTCATCTGTTTCTTTTTTCCTCCCCTCAGGATTTAAAAAAGCCCTTCGACAAGGCATGGAAAGATTACGAGGCCAAGTTGTAAGTCAGATGGATGCGTGTGCATGTGTGTGGCCGTGGCATTCTGCGTGTTATGCTGACCTAAGCAGAAGTCACCTGTAAAATAATCTGGCAGGATGTCAAATTTATATTCAGAATCAAGCTATGTACATTAGACAAAGTGAGGATACGTTTTAGTTTCACCGTGCGTTTGATGTTGAATAGTGTGGGAACCCTTGCAGTGATGAATAATGCAAACGCCGTTATTCTTTCAAGAGAAACTCTGTATGGCAGATGATAAGCTGCCTGTAAGTCTGTTTGTGAATGTAAGATTAACATTCGTCGGTTTTTCTGTGGCGTCACTTTCTGTGGAAATGTCTGTTTTGCAAGATTCAAAACATCTGTCCCCATTCTGCGATCATTATCTTCATTATCCACCACCACCAATTGTCCGTGTAGGAGCTGAACTTTGGAGCAGAACTGGCATTGTCTGTGATAAAGGCAATTAATTGGGTCTGTAGTTCTCTTTCAGAAGCGGAAGATGAACATTAAGTAATGAAATGGCTGTTTTCTTTATCTGAAGGAGATTTCCCGGGGGGGGGGGGGGGGTATGTAACGCATGTGGCTTTGCTGCTCGGCCCAGTCGCGGTCCCGGCCTGATGCCGCTTCCCTTCTGTGCCTCAGCACCAAGATCGAGAAGGAGAAGCGGGAACACGCCAAGCAGCATGGCATGATCCGCACGGAGATCACCGGGGCCGAGATCGCCGAGGAGATGGAGAAGGAGCGCCGGCTCTTCCAACTGCAGATGTGTGAGGTCAGCGGGGTCAGGGGTCCAAGGTCGTAGAGGGGGGGAGAGCGCTAATCGGCTGAATGAAGGATGAACACTGTGTGTATGATGAGGACCACGGCAGTGCTGATTGGTATGTAGGGTAGTCTGTGTAGGGTTTGTGTGGCCTCAAAGACGACTTTTGACTAGGTGTTGAAAACTTGACTGAATGGCTTTTCTTTGAGAAGGTATGAAAGATGGAGTGCATTACTCCGAGAAGTACTTCTTTGTGGGCAGGGAGTGGTTAAAGGCAGTTGCTTACAGTTGCTTGGACATGAAGGTGCAAAAACCTTTGCTGGCCTTGATCTTCTGACTCCCTTTCAGGCTGGGTCAGTCAGGGTGCGGCACCTACCCCACTCCTGGGGAAAACGCTGACTGAGCTCAGAATGGTATAGCCACCCCCCCATATCCCCTTGGGCCAGTTTTTTAGCAGATGTTCTTTTTCATGGTCAAGTCCGTGTTTGTTTCCTCAGATTATACAGTGCAGAGACAGGGAACACCCCAGAGGGCCACCTGCCCATATGTTATTTTTATGTGTGTTTGGTGGAGGTCAAAAGTCACAACCCCTGGTGGGCCACAGAGACCAATGTTGATGTAACACGTCCTGTCACAGAAGGCTGCTATAATAGACTGTTTGTTTAGCTTTTTGTTAGGGCTTCAGTGTTCATGGGTAAGATGGCCTCATCTTACTCATCTTGGGAAATTCTTCAGTTCTTTGTCCCTGATAGACTCCAGTCAGAAGAGGGTGCCATATTTACAGTGGGTTCCCGGCTTCGCTTTACATCCTTTGCTCCAGCTCTCTACTGTATTTGCCTGTCTCTGCTCACCATATAACCAGATTATAATGGGAATCTATGAGGCAGGGAGGCCAGGAAGGCGACGGCTCACACAGACACTCGCGATCCATCTTCCCCTCTTCCGTACCGCAGAGACACATGAGCTGCTGTCGGATTTGAGATAAACCTGAACTGCATGCAGTGGAAATACTTTGCTAGTGATTTTATAAATACCGTGAAGTAGAAATCGGATTAGCTGGATGTTGTATTCATTTGTTTGCCTGGCATCTTATTTATTTAGACATTTGAGGCCATATTTGGCTGCACGCGATCTAGGACAGAACGTGGCGTCTTATAGCTTATCACAGCTCACACTGAACCGAACAAAGAAAATACATACAGTATTTATCTTTGGTCCTCAGCAAAGCAGCTGCTTGGGTTGTTGAATTAACTCGATCGCAGTTCAGGTATTTTTCTCCGCAGTGACTTCCAGTCTCCAAATCTGTAGCTTCCATCTCTGTGCCAGTTGGACTATGTCAGTTATTGTTACTTATTTTTCATCGCACAGTACCTCATCAAAGTGAATGAGATCAAGACCAAGAAGGGGGTGGACCTTCTGCAGAACCTGATCAAGTATTACCATGCACAGTGCAAGTGAGTGATGCCAGGACCTGCCACGGTGTGCAAAAGACCTTCGAGGGATTGTTCCATGTCCTTCTCCTTGGTCCAGATGTTTTATGCAGCTGTGTCAAACTCCAAGTCATTGTCAAAGTGTTATACGTGATTGTTTTCAGGCTCTTTAGCAATACCACGATACCAAGCAGAATAAGCGGGCGTTTGTTTGAAAAATATTGTAAGGATGATATGCAGAATATGCTGAAGGTGACGATGAGGGGGGAAGTTGTGAGCTGGATGAAGTGAGGAGCTTGGCAGGTGTGAATCTCTGAGCATAACGACCCAAAGGCTCGAAGAAGTCAGGCAGGAGAAGAACCTCAGAGCCTATCTTCTTAAAATAGATACGGTAGGAGAGGCACCATAGAGCAGTCTGTTTTGAGGTTTTCCAATGATAGACCACATTATACTTTATTGCACAGGATGAACAGATATGAGGCAGAATGAGAGTTGCAGGCCACACTGGCCAGATCCTGCTGCGAGATAAATCACAGTGCTGTTTCCTGTACATGTTTGTTCTTGCAGCGTATTTCTAATAGATTGGTTTCTCCTGTAGCTTCTTTCAGGATGGCCTGAAAACAGCAGACAAGCTAAAGCAGTACATCGAGAAGCTCGCTGCAGACCTTTATAACGTGAGTAGCTCATGCTTATTATTTTGGCTTCTCAGCGGTGATTCAGTAAATTATTGGTAAAGAACTGTCGTAAGCAGCCATGTGAGCTGTATGGCGGTCTCCCGACAGATAAAGCAGACACAGGATGAGGAGAAGAAGCAGCTCACCGCCCTGCGGGACCTCATCAAGTCCTCCCTGCAGCTGGACCAAAAGGAGGTAGGCTAGCTGTTGGGGTGCATCACGGCTCAGTTGTAGGACCGTCCTCAGTTTTCGGACCATGGTAGGGGGACCTGGGGGCTGTTCTGTCTGGCTGTCTGGAAATTTAATTTGATTGGCATTCCTGGTCTTGCATTAATAACAGCGCGTCCTTAATGCACACCGTTAAACATGTAAAGTCTGTTTTTGACTAGTCAGTTTATTAAAATGAAGAATTGACTTTTTTTATCGTGGCCCCTCTATTGGCCAAGTAGCACAAAAGCTACTGATTTGACCTCTTTGGACCTTTCAACCTGTAGCATGATTGTCTCTACTTTTCAGTGGTTTGGGATATACAGGTGCTCCTTTACATTCTGATCAATCCATCGTAAGTGGAAAATATTGTCGAATATGGATATGATATATGATAATCAAATACCTACTGTCACTGAAAGTTACAGTAAGATAATAAATAATTGCTGTAACTGACTAAATATCAATACTTGAAACATAAATAAATGAATACAGTTTTATTTGGTTAAGTACAGAAAAAAACAGTACAATATGTTAAATACTGTATTAGATGTTTGCACCCACGATTGCTACTGAGACTGGAAGTGTGGCTGCGTGGATGCTGCCATTGCCCAGCATCAGTAGACAGTATCGTACGGCATATGACTAGCCCAGGAACGGGTTTCAGAGTTCACTACTGAATGTGCATCGCTATCGCACAAAAAGTCGAAATATCGTAAGCGGAACCATCATAAAGCGAGTAGCATCTGTGCGTAAGTCTTATCAGATTCTCTCTGCTCCATAGTATAACCGGCTCCGTAAAGCCAGCAGAAACCCGTATGACTTGTTTCAACCATAAACCCCATTTATACCCCTGAGTGCTGGTAGCTGTGATGCCCCTGAGGCGGTCAGCCGCAAAGCGCTGGAGGTATCTCCTCTCCTGTCGGGGAGCGGCCAGTGCTGTACCATGCTGGTAGCTGTGATGCCCCTGAGGCGGTCAGCCGCAAAGCGCTGGAGGTATCTCCTCTCCTGTCGGGGAGCGGCCAGTGCTGTACCATGCTGGTAGCTGTGATGCCCCTGAGGCGGTCAGCCGCAAAGCGCTGGAGGTATCTCCTCTCCTGTCGGGGAGCGGCCAGTGCTGTACCATGCTGGTAGCTGTGATGCCCCTGAGGCGGTCAGCCGCAAAGCGCTGGAGGTATCTCCTCTCCTGTCGGGGAGCGGCCAGTGCTGTACCATGCTGGTAGCTGTGATGCCCCTGAGG